TCTTTCCCTCCTTCTTCCCTTCTCTTTCTTTCCCTCCTTTTTTCTTTCTCGTTCTTTCCCTCTTCTCTCTTTTTATCCCCTCTTTCCTTCCTTCTTTTCTTCCTTCTTCTCTTTCTTTCCCTCTTTCCTTCCTTCTTTCCTTCTCTCTACTCTCTCTCTTTCCTTCCCTCTTTCCTTCAAGTGGTCACAGTTCTGACAGACAACACCACAGCCCTGTGTTATATCAACAGACAGGGAGGTACGATCTCCCAGGGGCTATGTCACCTAGCCATTGAACTATGGGTCCAGTGTCAATCATGGAACACGTTCCTAAGGGCCGCTCATCTGCTAGGAACACTGAACATTCAAGCAGACTTCTTGAGCAGAGGAGGGGCAGCAGAGCACAAGTGGGAGCTCAATTGTATTTATCTTCACCCAATCTTCTGCCTTTGGGGCCATCCAAAGGTGGATGTGTTTGCAACACGCAGCAACAGGAAATGTCACCTGTTCTGCTCCAGAGCGGGGATAGAGCCCCTATCTCTGGGAGATGGTCTTCTGGTCCCGTGGTCCCATCTTCATGTGTTCCTCTTTCCTCCGGTTCCTCTAATACCCAGAGTACTAGTCAAGTTAATGCAGGAAAAACCACGCTGTCTCTTAGTGACACTGTGGTGGCCCCGACAACATTGGTTCTCCACTCTGCTCCACCTATCCAAGGGCTCCTTCGTTCACCTTCCCCCGACTGCAGACCTCCTCCTCGCAGAGAAGGGTCGGATTCTGCATCACGATGTGAAGCGTCTCAAGCTCACGATCTGAAGGATCCTTTTCGACCGGTCAGAGACAGAATAGATCATGTCCTATTGAACTGTCGCAGGCTGTCTACCCAAGTTTCTTATGCTGGGAAGTGGAAGAAATTCTTGTTTTCCAAGTTCAATTTCACGTAACACCATTTTCCCGAGAAAGCGAACTCTCTGGCCGATGCTTTGTCCCGCCTTCCGCAACACGACAGCAAGCGGGAGGGGGTACTTGACTCCATGTTCACGCCTACACAGTTGGGAGGGGTTGTAGTGACACACAGCTGAGCCTCGGCCCCTCCTGACTCTGACTCTACATCTGGATGGGAGGGGAAATTCACTTCCGCCCTCTCTGAGGCGGACCGTCTGGAACTGAGCAAGGAGGGGGAGACGGTGGAGCATCCAAACGGATGTTGGTACAAGGGTTCCAAATTATTCGTTCCCCTGACGCTGTGGGGGGAAATTATGTCTGTTGTTAATGACAACAAACTGGCCAGCCATTTGGGGTTTGTCAAATCCCTTCATCTCCTCCAACGACAATTTTGGTGGCCTGGAATGAGAAAAGACATCGCTTTTTCTTCAGTTATGCCAGACCTGCATTATGTGCAAAGCTCGGCCGGGTAAACCTCCGACAGATTATCTCCGACGGGGGGTCCCAATTTGTCTCCCAAGTTCTGGGGGGAGCTCATGTCCCTCATGGGGGTAAAAAGAGGCCTCAGTAGTGCCTATCACCCCGAGACTGACGGCCAGACAGAAAGGGTTATTCAAACCTTGGAACACTACCTCCGCTGTTTCACAAACTACCAGCAACACGATTTGGAGGGTCTCCTCCCTTTGACTGAATTTTGTTACAACAATACTTATCACTCATCAACTGGTGTTTCCCAGTTCATGGCTGTATATGGTTATGGGGCACTTCCCCTCCCGTTTCTGTCGGAGGGGTTTCTCCCGGCTGGGGAGGTGGGCGAATGGTGTCAGCATTTAAAAGATGCGTGGCCCCTCCTTTGCAAGACATTGGACTCGGCTAAACTAGCCTAGAAGTCCCAGGCCGATAAGAAACGGTCTGAGGCATGGGATGTGAAGCCTGGCGATTCTGTGTACATTTCCACCAAAAACATCAGGAACCTACTGTCAGGTTCCACAGCCAAACAAAGGAGTACATGCTTAACATAAGGTTCTACTTTAATGTAAGAGCTATAGAGGTAGTAACGTCGTCACTGTTAGGAATGGCTACTTTCCTACAAGCATAATGGGATATAGAGTATTCGTACGCACCCCCCCACACACACACACTCCTCGGCCAATCAGCCTGACTCCCGCACATGGGGGAATGGGGCCCCAAACCGTTAAAGCCAAAGCTGGGAATCGAAACGTATCCCACAGGTAATAGATGGGAAGACACTACACAGGCAGCTAGCTAGCAAGGTCATAGATAAGCAAGGACGAAGGAATGCGGCAGCAGTTGGTACACAGGTCAAGCAGATGCACTCTCGCCCATAAACATCATGGCAACATAGCTGACACCTACGGCCCAGCTGTAAATTGGGATGGAAGTTTATCGGACCTTTTAGGGTCCTCCGCAAGATCAATGACGTTGCTGTGGAGGTGGACTTGCCTAAAAATTTAAGGCACATGCTGTTTTCCATTTCAGCCTCCTCCGTCGTGATCCTGGGACTAATGCTTGGCGACCGCAAAATGCATGCCCACCCCCACCCCCCATTATCGTTGAAGGTGACAAACATCATGCAGTTGCTGATATTTTGGACTCTAAACTTAGGCGCAATAAACTGTACTATTTGATTGAATGGGTGGATTTCGGTTCACAACACAGGGAGTGGGTGTCAGCAGACCATGTTTCCACTCCTCACCTTGTCGAGCATTTCCATTGCCGCTTTCTGGACAAGCCGGGGGGCGGAACTTTGGAGGGGCAGAATGTCAGGTATCCCTGTCATGGTGTTGGAATGTGAGGGGGGTTATTATCTCCCTTCCCGTTCTCAGTGCTTCTCTGCCTAGGGCTCCACTATCTGCACATTGGCCTTGAAGATGCTTTTCTGTAATTCCCCAGGCCTGGGAACTGTAACTGCTTTAGACGCAAAATTGCTTGCTTGCTGGCAGGGCCCGTGCGTGTGAGAAAACTTTATTGGCTTCGCAGGTGGGGAGGGGGCTGTTTGAATATTCTATAAGTTAGTGGCCATCATATTACAAGTCATTCTTAACACAGGCTGTATACATGTACTTTAGTTCTGCGTTACCATAATAAACACCTATCTTCTGAAGAAGCCTGGGTGTGTGGATTACCTGCCTAAAGTTCCTGACAAGTTGTGTAGTGCAAGTATTTGTTAAGAATGAAGGGATTCAGTGGTTCTGCAGCTCTTGAGTCTGAGCTTCTGCCCTTCCCAAATATTTATGAAGCTTCTGCAACACTGAAAGTGTTATATAAATGCTAAAATGGGAGTGTTCTGTAACCACCAACGAATGGATGACTTGCAGTGGAAAGCATGTTCCCCGCAGTTAATCTAATTGGTTGTGATAGCCAGGTGCTTTCTCAGTTTGCCACCCCCCACCCTGTCACACATTCTAGTGCAGTGACTGAGTTTATTTTTGTTATGGTGTGGGTTGCAAGTGGTTAATACAATGTTAATAAATAATTGTGGCTGATTTCATGCTGCTATTATAGAGGAAGACTGGGAAGGTGGAATAGGAACCTGAGGTGATTTCTGCTACTTCCACTCTCCCCTTCTGGAGTGATTCACACCAACACCTCCGTTTCACAACACACATAAAAAGTGTATTGTCTCTTCTTCAGAAGGGCTTAGTGCTTAGTGGCTTGGTGGATAAGATAAAGAATGTAACCAGTTATTGGGATTTCTAGCAAGGGACAGCAGAACTCTGCTTTAAAACAATTTCACACACTGGATTGACAGGGTGTTTCTGTGACAACGAGAAAGAATGATTTCATTTGGAACTCCTCCTTAAACCCAAGAATCTCAGTTTACAGAAATAGGGTTAGCTTGTCTCTTGGGATATTCCCTCACTCCCCCCACAAGTCCCTAACCTACTATTTCTCTTAAGGTAACACAGAATATCCGCTTTATTTCTTTATTTCTGCCTCTCGATTGGCTCCTGAGTCCTCAGCTGAGCTCTGAGCAGGAGCAGGAGACAGAGGGGTGAGTGGTTTTTTT